GTTAATAAATTAATAATCTTCATCAAAAATTGTTGTATTTTAATTTGTTTTTAAAGCTATTATTTTACTTTAAAAATTTTCTCTTATTTCTTAAAAATAACTCAACAATTATGAAAATTTTAATTCTTATAACTTAAGTTTTTAACCCCATAAAATTTTATGACTTGTGCAAGTACTCTTTTTTTTTGACAAAACTTATAAAAAATGCAACAAATAATTCCCTTAAAAACCATACTGCTTTTCCACACTAAATAAACAGTTTCATTTGTCTTTCAATTAATTTTAAGCAGCAGTTTTGATGTCATTAAAACAATTATCAAGACTGTGTAAAAATAATTGCATTTGAAGTTATTTAAACAGAAAAACAAATGCGAAAAAATTATCAGAGCAAAGCAGTTTTACAGACAACATTTGGCATGAGTAAAAATAATAATTTTGAAAAGAAAGCTGCAACAAAAAACAAGTAATAAAAACATTTGCAAGTGATAATGTTACTTTACACTTCAAAATCGTCTCTAGGTGGGGGATACATTGATCCCCTAGAACAAAAAAGAAAATCATGCTTAAGTGAGTGTGAAATAATAAAGAAAAAATAAAGTGAAAATAAAGAAAATGAAAAATTTATATATATTTTTTAAAAATATTGATTTGTGTGTGATAAATTGCTGTAATACATGTCAGGGCATTTAACATGTGGTTTGTGGTGGTTGGGAAACTACAATGAGAGAAAATGTTTAATCAACAAATGGCAATTGTGAATTGTTGAAAAAATGTTTTAATTTAAAGTTATATTAAACTGAACTAAAACAGAACTAAAACTGGAACAGAGTTGTTCTAGTTCAGTTCTAGTTGAGTTCTAGTTGAGTTCTAGTTGAGTTCTAATTGAGTTCTAGTTGAGTTCTAGTTGAGTTCTAGTTGAGTTCTAGTTGAGTTCTAATTGAGTTCTAGTTGAGTTCTAGTTGAGTTCTAGTTGAGTTCTAGTTGAGTTCTAGTTCAGTTCTAGTTGAGTTCTAGTTCAGTTCTAGTTCAGTTCTAGTTCAGTTCTAGTTCAGTTCTAGTTCAGTTCTAGTTCAGTTCTAGTTCAGTTCTAGTTCAGTTCTAGTTCAGTTCTAGTTCAGTTCTAGTTCAGTTCTAGTTCAGTTCTAGTTCAGTTCTAGTTCAGTTCTAGTTCAGTTCTAGTTCAGTTCTAGTTCAGTTCTAGTTCAGTTCTAGTTCAGTTCTAGTTCAGTTCTAGTTCTTCTAGTTCAGTTCTAGTTCAGTTCTAGTTCAGTTCTAGTTCAGTTCTAGTTCAGTTCTAGTTCAGTTCTAGTTCAGTTCTAGTTCAGTTCTAGTTCAGTTCTAGTTCAGTTCTAGTTCAGTTCTAGTTCAGTTCTAGTTCAGTTCTAGTTCAGTTCTAGTTCAGTTCTAGTTCAGTTCTAGTTCAGTTCTAGTTTAGTTCTAGTTCAGTTCTAGTTCAGTTCTAGTTCTAGTTCAGTTCTAGTTCAGTTCTAGTTCAGTTCTATGTTCAGTTCTAGTTCAGTTCTAGTTCAGTTCTAGTTCAGTTCTAGTTCAGTCTAGTTCAGTTCTAGTTCAGTTCTAGTTCATTTCTAGTTCAGTTCTAGTTCAGTTCTAGTTCAGTTCTAGTTCAGTTTCTAGTCCGTTTCTAGTCAGTTCTAGTTCAGTTCTAGTAGTTCAGTTCTAGTTCAGTTCTAGTTCAGTTCCTAGTTCAGTTCTAGTTCAGTCTAGTTCAGTTCTAGTAAGTCTAGTTCAGTTCTAGTTCAGCAGTTCTAGTTCAGTTCTAGTTCAGTTCTAGGTCAGTTCTAGTTCAGTTCTAGTTCAGTCTAGTTCAGTAGTTCAGTTTCTAGTTCAGTTCTAGTTCAGTTCTAGGTTCTAGTTCAGTTCCTTCTAGTTCAGTTCTAGTTCAGTTTAGTTCAGTTCTAGTTCAGTCTAGTAGTTCTCGTTCAGTCTCGTTCAGTCTAGGTTCAGTTCTAGTTCAGTTCTAGTTCAGTTCTAGTAAGTTCTAGTTCGTATAGTTCAGTTCTAGTTCAGTTCTCGTTCAGTTCTAGTTCTAGTTCAGTTCTAGTTCAGTTCTAGTTCAGTTCTAGTTCAGTTCTAGTTCAGTTCTAGTTCAGTTCTAGTTCAGTTCTAGTTCAGTTCTAGTTCAGTTCTAGTTCAGTTCTAGTTCAGTTCTAGTTCATTCAGTTCAGTTCTAGTTCAGTTCTAGTTCAGTCTAGTTCAGTTCTAGTTCAGTTCTAGTTCAGTTCTAGGTTCAGTTCTAGATTCAGTTCTAGTTCAGTTTAGTTCAGTTCTAGTTCAGTTCTAGTTCAGTTCTAGTTCAGTTCTAGTTCAGTTCTAGTTCAGTTCTAGTTCAGTTCTAGTTCAGTTCTAGTTCAGTTCTAGTTCAGTTTAGTTCAGTTTCTAGTTCTTCTAGTTCAGTTCTAGTTTCAGTTCTAGTTCAGTTCTAGTTCAGTTCTAGTTCAGTTCTAGTTCAGTTTCTAGTTCAGTTCTAGTTCAGTCTAGTTCAGTTCTAGTTCAGTTCTAGTTCAGTTCTAGTTCAGTTCTAGTTCAGTTCTAGTTCAGTTCTAGTTCAGTTCTAGTTCAGTTCTAGTTCAGTTCTAGTTCAGTTCTAGTTCAGTTCTAGTTCAGTTCTAGTTCAGTTCTAGTTCAGTTCTAGTTCAGTTCTAGTTCAGTTCTAGTTCAGTTCTAGTTCAGTTCTAGTTCAGTTCTAGTTCAGTTCTAGTTCAGTTCTAGTTCAGTTCTAGTTCAGTTCTAGTTCAGTTCTAGTTCAGTTCTAGTTCAGTTCTAGTTCAGTTCTAGTTCAGTTCTAGTTCAGTTCTAGTTCAGTTCTAGTTCAGTTCTAGTTCAGTTCTAGTTCAGTTCTAGTTCAGTTCTAGTTCAGTTCTAGTTCAGTTCTAGTTCAGTTCTAGTTCAGTCTAGTTCAGTTCTAGTTCAGTTCTATTTTAGTTCTAGTTAATTGTAGATAAGTTCATTGTCGTTTTAAAATTTTATTTGTGTCCATATTTTTGCTCCATACTGTTTGTATCTACAACATTGAACTATAATAATTTATACTTATAAATAAACATACACTTGTAGTTGTTATTATTTTTAAAATTGTTATTTATAGTTTAAACTTTTAACAAACTTCACACTTAAACTTCACACCAACACACATTCAAACATAAATGAGCAGAGAATACCAAGAAAAATACAAGAAAGTTGTCATGGCAAATTCAAAAGTTTATATTGAAAAGGTAATAACGAATAATACTTGTAGTGAACCACTAACTGACAATAACTAATAAAGGAAAATCTACTACTTACCTTATAGTAGAACAGTGGTTAAGAAGTGGTTTTAAGGGGAGAGTGAAAAGCACTACAGTAAAAATTCGAGTTAATGAATTATTAAGCTGGTTTTAGCTACGTTACTAAAGCAAGAAAATAGTTTTTTTTTTTAATATTTATAATTTGTATTTAAAAGAGAGAGCTTTATTATGAACCCTTCATTTTGTAAAACTGTTGAGCCACGTACTTCTGTTGTAATTCTGTTGTAGTGGGTTAATATGTAATTTGTTCATACTTGTCATCACATGGGTATTTAAAGTTTTGTCTAACTTCTCCCTTGTTTTTCTATTTTCTTTAGTTTCAATAACAGTATAAATGCATTTAAATACATTGTCATGCTTCATGTGTTGAATCTAATAACGTTGCACTTTGTATGTTACATTTTAACCTAAATAAACTGATACACTTTGTGCATCTTTGATAAATTTAACCCCATGTTTTTTTTTTTTTTTTTTTTAGCAAATGTCACACAACAAAGTTTAAAGTGGGGTTGGAAAAAAATATTAAATTTTATTTGTTTTTTAAGTATGAGTTTACTTTTTAAAGCACTTTTTTTTGCTTTTTTTTCAAAGTAACAAAACTTTACCTTTTTTGTGTTTATTTCACCTTAATCAAAATATGCCTAACACAACTTTTATTGCAGAGATTTTTTTAAGGCAAAAATGTCACATGTAAAATTCACAGACAACATGAAAAACTTTTTCATATTCAAACAGTATGTCAGTTACAGAGATTCAATCTACTCGACAACCCCCCACCTTATTCATAGAAATATACATAAAAAACAATATTTCTATTTATTTGCCAAAAATAGCTGAAACTCTTCACACACATTCATTTATATTGTTGAAAAAAGTCCTTGCCATTTCCATGCCTAAAAACTCTTAAAAAAAGAGAGATTTTGTTGCGTCTTTAAAAAAAGTCTTTTAAAATTATTTTGTTCGCCACATGACTTTTATTTAAGCACAGAGTTTAAAAAGTGAAAGGAAATAAAAAGAAACAATTGCTAATTACAATGGAATTTGAAAAATGAGTTAAAATATATAAAGTTTAAAAAAGGAAGCTTATTTAAAGGAAATCATTAAACTATGATTTTAGCAAAGTTTTCCTTTTAAATTTAAATGCTTTTCTATTGTTGAAAAATAAACAGTTTTGAATTGATTTTCTTTAATACTAATGTTGAACTTTAACACTCTATAACTTACCTGGCATTTGGGGTTAATAACTCAATAAATATTATTTTGAAAGCTTAACTTCTCTTCTATCAATATACAAACTTGTGTTACAATCCGATTGATAATTCTCTAGTTCTATGTTTTTTTTTTTATTTTTTTTACAGTTTTTTACATTTTGCCAACATCCCTTAGGCGTATACATAATATTTAATAAGCATAATAAAAATATATTACTTATACCACCTGTGGTTCTAAAACACAAAATAAATTTGTCATACCAACCACTTTTGTGGTCTTGTTTAAACATAAAATAAACACAAATATTTGTATTTAATAGTGACAGCAACCTTTCACAGACATTTTGGTCTTTTTCTGTCTATCTTAACATTTTCATGCTCCTTTTTTTAACGGCTGTATTTTCTAGAGTTAAAGTAGTTTTTTTAAACATTATTTTTTTGTTTATCTATTTTTTACTGAAGATTTTTCTGTTATTCTTTCCAGGGAATTATTATTACTGTGCTGATTTCTTTGGAAGACTAAATACTTATCACATCATACTGTATTAGTTCAGCAGTGTGTATTTACGGGAATTTTTTGAAAAGGTAAGTCTTTTTTAAACTATTTCTATGTAAATTTTACATATTCATACAATGATTTTTCCATAACCACCAGTGTATTAGGATTTGTATTTAAATATTTAAATAAAAAATCTGAATTATTTATATCCACCATCAAAAACTTAGTTACATTGGTTATTCCAATTGTAACATAACGAAATTTTGGTCTTAGTCCCACTAAAGTCTATATATAGTATTAGGGTTCTTGTTACATTCTAATACTTTTTAGCTGGGTCCGTCTGTTTGTTTATTAATTTCAAATTTCTCTGTTTTTATAGAAAGTTTTGCGAAATTATTTTCTTTTTTATAGAAATTCCTTTTTTTCACCGAAAATTTTTTAAAATTTATATTTTTATAAACTTTTTTTAAGAATTTTTCTTTTTATAGATAATTATCTTAAAATAAGCATTTTATAGAAAATTATGTTAACATTTTGCTCTTTATTACTCTATTTATAGAAAATTTTCTAAAAATTTTCATTTTTTATGGAAAATTTTCCAAAAATTATTCTTTTTTATAGAAAATTTTCTAAAAGTTATTATTTGTATGTCCGTCTACGCAACCTCCTTTTTTAGTTAAGTTTGTTTTCAAATGTCTATTTGTCTGTCCGTCTGACTGTCTGTCCGTGTGTATTTTAATGTCGAATGCTTTACTTGAACAGCTGCTGTGTTGGCCAATTTCACGGTGGTCTTCTTCAACCACTGGGTTAGCTTTTGTAACGTGCTTCTTACATGCAATTTACGTATATGGAATTTCCGGTCCAGTATACGTGCACTTTGCTCAAGTACTTGAGCTATCTAATCTCTGGCCATTGCTGCCCACTTGCTTAACTTCCGAGATGCAAAAACATCACTTCCGTTTAAAACCACACAGATGGGATGTCCTCTGTTGAGTCGGCAACAGCACCTAGAGACATAAGCGGTAGACCAAAGTACAAATCCATCAAATACCTAAGCCGAGACTTTGTTCTTACGCACAGAGGACTCACTGTGGTAAATCTGGTATGAATAGAGTTTGCTCTGGAAATAGCTGGACAGGGAAGGAAAATTCAATGTTATCACTTGTATAAGATCCATCACCATTCAACCCAGCACACTTCTCATTTATCCGACACACTCATAAGAGAACAACATACGACAGACTCACTCTACATTCCCCTACATTCATCCTGTATCGTATACATTTAACACCAACTCATTTCCAACGCTTAGTCTTTTGTCATTCGGCAACAGCACCGAACCCGAAATATAGATTTCACCGTGCATCAGTCTTTTAACCGCTACTTACTCTTCTGGCTTAAAACATACCAAATGGGACTTTTTGGTACTTTTTCGTTCTTCAAAAGGTACTTTTTGAATTTTCTATAATATTGAACCTAGAAGCACACAATTGAGCATGAAGACCCCGAATAAGTGAGAACATATAAAAGGATTTTTTTTCGTAATTTTTCGATCTCCAAAAGGTACTTTTTGCATTTTATATAATATTGAACCTTGAAACATAAAAGTACGCATTTAAAGCCCGGAGTAAGTGAGAACATATAAAAGAGGACTCTTGGGTACATTTCGTTCTTCAAAAGGTACTTTTTGAATTTTCTTTAATAATGAACCTATTGAGAATCAATTGAGAATGTAGAGCCCAGAATAAGTGAGAACATATAAAAGGGAACTTTTTGGTACTTTTTCGTTCTAAAAAAATTCTCATTTTAAACATTTTTTTCACGAACAGCTTTAAATAGAGACATACTCCTGCCTTAATTTCTAGCCACATTTATTAAGAAAGACAATTCAATTTGTTTTCATTGTAATGTAGTAATTAACATTCAATTATTTTATGATTTTTGTAAATTTCATTAAACTAATTACCCTGAAATTTTAAATATTTAAAAAGTATCTTCCTAGAATTCATATTTTGTAAATAGCGAATCAGTACCTTTATAAACAAAATTTCAAAAGCAATACCCCTGACTCCATTATCGACATTCATGATAACCCTTTTTCTTAAATGGTTATACATTTATTGCACAAAATGATGAGAAAAAAACGAGAACATTTCTAATGGTTGAACAATTTTCCAGCAAATTGAGTTGTAAATTCTTAAGCCATTTTTTATTGTTTCAAACATTCCTACTCATTCTAAAAGGAAAAAATCTCCTGGCTACGCAGAACGGGGTTAATTTGTTTTCCCCCTTACCTCTTTCTCCCACTAGGTAACATTAAAAATTCTTTTGTTTATGGCTAAAATTCTTGGGAAAGTAATTGTTAATTAGAAGACAACAAAAAAAGCAAAAGTAGAAAGTTCGAAATATTACTAGGGTCACTTGAAAATGGGGGAAAGAGATGCTAGACAGAAATATTTTTCTTGTTATTTAAAAATAATTTACGTTTTTTATTAAAATTTTATTTGCATAAGAATGTTTTCTATAAAGAAAAAAAGACATTAAGCATAAAACCAGGAATTTTTAAATGAAATCTTTAAAAATAAAGAAAAATATGTTAAACAATTTATAATTAAATTTACTATTTAATATTTACTAATAATTTAATAACGTTTTGTCCATAATTTAATTAAAAATATGCTAAATCAAAGCAAGAGCATACATAATTACAAAATTATGTTTATAATACGACCACACTGAAGTCTGTTTTGACATTATGAAATAATTTGTTATTGAAATACACTGCAATTACCTGTTGGCTATAAACCAACCACTACACAAACATTAGAAGAAAATTTACACACTCACAAAGATACACACACAGCTACTTTAGAATGTATAGCGACCTCTGAACATCAGTTACATTCCCTCGAACTAACCAATGTTCTTATACATACAACCTCTTGACTGTCACATAATCTTGTTCATACTCTCTTACATACAAATTTATACTTCTAAACACATGACTTTAGGTAAAATGTTGTCTATGGCCAAGTATTATTTTACTGGAGGTGCGGTAAGAAGACTTTTAAACTTAATTTAATGCTTCAACAGACAGGATTTATTAAAAGGTCTTTGGTATTTTGAAGATATTTGCAACTAAGTACTTACAACAGAGCGAAGTAAATAAAACTGTGTAGAGAGCAGCAACAGTTATTTTTGATTTGAAAGTTAGTGTCAGTAACAGTAGAATGAAACTTTGTTTTTACAAATTTGTCAAGAAAAATTAACTATTTTATAGAAAATTTTCAAAAATGTCTCTTTTTTATAAAAAAAATCCAAAACTTCTCTCTTCACAGGAAATTTTCTAAAAGTTTTCTCTTTTATAGAACATTTTCAAATATCTTTTTAAATAGAAAATTTTCTTAAAATTTATTTTTATATTCTTGAGAAGGGTATATATAAGTTTGTCATTCCGATTGTAATTTCTGATTCCATAAATTATTTATATATATATTCTGGAACCTTATAGATAACGGAGTCGATAAATCTATGTCCGTCTGTCTGTCTGTTTGTCTGTCTGTTTGTTTGTCTGTCTGTCTGTCTGTCTGTCTGTCTGTCTGTCTGTCTGTCTGTCTGTCTGTATGTCTGTCTGTTTGTCTGCCTGCCTGTCTGTCTGTCTGTTTGTCCGTCCATCTGTATGTTTGTTGAAATCAGTTTTTAGAAGACCCCAGATAACTTCGAGATTCGAATCTTCAATAATTCTGTCAGAAATCCTTTCGAGAAGTTTTCTATTAAAAATCAGCAAAATCGCTTCATAAATAACTGAGATATGAGCAAAAATTTTAGACTACCTCTGAAAACTACAAGCATAAAACAACAACAATGAGATAAAACAGTTATATTTAGGTAATACAGCTATTATTTGATTGAGAGGGTGGTAATACAGTTCAATTTGTTTGTGGATAGGTAATACAGTTATATTTCTTTCTGCGTAATACAGGTTACATTTGTTTACGTGTGTGTTATGTGTGACATGTGTGCAAAGATACAAGTCGATGCCCGGAGTTAGAACCAATAAAAGGGCACTTTTTGGTATTTTTTCGTTCTTCAAAAAGGTACTTTTTGAGTTTTCTATAATATTGAACATAGAAACATGAAATTGAGCACGTAGAGCCCGGAATAAGTGATAACCTTTAGAAGGGGATTTTTTGGTACTTTTTCGTTCTTTAAAGGTACTTTTTGGAATTTTCTATAAATTAAAGCTAGAAACCATGAAATTAAGCATGTGGGACCTGGAGTAAGTGAGAACTTATAAAAGGTTTTTTTTCGTACTTTTTCGTTCTTCAAAAGTGTCTTTTTGAACCTAGAAACATGAAATTAAGCATGTGGGGCTAGGAGTAAGTGATTATCTATACAAGGGGATTTTTTGGTACTTTTTCATTCTCGAAAGCGTACATTTTGAATTATCTATAATATTGAACCTAAAACATGAAATTAAGCATGTGGGGCCTGGAGTAAGTGATAACCTATAAAAGAGGATTTTTTGGTACTTTTTCGTTCACCAAACTGTACTTTTTGAAATTTCCATAATATCGAACCTAGAAACATGAAATTGAACATGTAGAGCCCGGATTAAGTGAGAACTTGGTAATATTTCGTTCTTCGAAAGGTACTTTTTGAAGCACGAAAATAGTTAAATGGGGACATTCTGTTTTATAGTTTTTTTTTTGTTCGAAAATTTCTGAATATTACATTTTTTATAGTAAATTCTTTAAAATTCTTCTTTTGTAGAAAATTTCTAAAAATGTTCTAAAAATTTCATAGAAACTTATATACAAATTTGTTATGTTATTTTTCAAAAATGTCTCTTTCTTGTCTGTTCTTATTAAATTTTGTAAAAATTAAACAAATTGTTTTGCTTAATTTTTGTTTAACCAAACTATTTGGTTCATAAACTGGGTCTTTATTAAATTTATACAAAATTATTATTCTAATCCGGTTGGTTATTTAAAGTCTGCAAAGTTTTTGTCTGTTTTTCTATCCTTTTTTTTTGCTTGAACAATTGCCAAACAAAAAATACAGAAAAAACAATTTGTTAAATTTG